AGGAAAATATATAATTATACACCGTCTTGCATTTCTTTATTGAGTCAGTTTGTACACAAACAAAATTGAATTACCACATGCAAGACGTTTTTATGGGGGTTTTAGGGTTGCAATAGAAGATGGAAATTGTCAATTTGTGAGAGGGGTGGAAAATCATTTTACACCACTCCATTGTTGATTTAGATTAAAGCTTGAATGTAGAATAGCTACTAGATACTGATACAAGACGTCCTGTGGAGGGATAACGGGCTGCAAGACGGATGTCAATGCGTTGTCTCATGAGGGAGTGAAAATTTATTTTACACCACTTCATGCTTATGTCCGCCGGAAGAATATATGTTAAAAAATGGTAATACATCAGTCCAAGACGTTTTTTCGGGGAAAAAAGTTAATAAATCCGTTTTCTTTTTTTACTGAACTTTTGAGTTATTTACTGAACCGTTCACTGTTCATTCTTTTCTAAATCATACAGATGGAAAAGGACAGTTGACATAGCAGCTCAACTGGGGAGTCTGCTGAATACAGGAATTATAATTTCTGTTTACAATTCCAGGCAGATCATTTTTTTGCTGCTTTAAAATCAAATTTCTCAAATTTACCTAATACCTACTTACAATCCGTTAGATGTTATGACATATCCACCTCAAAAAAAAAATAAAATGATTATAAGCTGTCAGAAAAAGAACAATTTTCAACCTTTTTTTTTTTGATGTCCGTAGAGTCATTCAAATATACATATTAAGAGAATTTTGCAAAATAGAATTATTCTACGTGGTAAAAGCAAAAATATCTAAAATTATTGTGCGTAATTTGTAATTTGGAGTAGTATTCACATTTGTACCTGATGGATTTACCCCCGTCAAAATTAGTCAACTTCATCACCGTCTTGCAGTCCTTTCTTTCCATTTAGAACGTCTTGTATTTTTTAAAATGTTATCAATGTGTTCTGTTTTTCCCATTAGTATCAGTGCAAGACGGTGTAAAATGATTTCTCACTCCTTCATAAGACAACACATTGACCTCCGTCTTGCAGTCCGTTATCCCTCCACAGGACGTCTTGCATCAGTATCCAGTGGCTATTCTACATTCAAGCTTTAATCTAAATCAATAATGAAGTGGTGTGAAATGATATTTCACCCCTCTGAAAAATTGACAATTTCTATCCAATATAACAACCCCAAAACCTCCATGAAAACGTCTTGCATGTGTTGATCCAATTTTGTTTGTGTACAAATTAACTCAATAAATAAATGCAAGACGGTGTATAATTATATATTTTCCCTGTTTATGACGACATTTTCTGGAAATTTTTTTTCAGCGAAATCCCCCACTCCCATCTATTTCCCCGTACAGGTGCGTTTCAGCATCATGTTATCTAATGATGATAACAATGCAAGACGGTGTAAAATGATTTGATGAAATAGGCCTCGTATCCCGTACTATTATATAAATATACCTATACTTATTGAATGACAGGTGTCACGAACGTCTCCGATTTCCAGTTAGCGACGGGAAAGTGGACTTTTTCTGCCTAGGCAGAAAAGTTCGTTACTAACCATTCAACAAACGTTATAACCGCAATTGATGAATATAAGAAAGTCGATTATGCGTGAAATTGTAACAAATTTGGAGAAAAAATGATATGCTTCACACGGCAAAAGATCAGATTTAATGCCTTGCACACACACAACAAATAATTATGTACAGGGTCATTTTTTATATTTTCCCACCCCCCTTAACATTTTTATGCCACTGTGTATAGAAAAAAATTTAATAGGAAAGTTGTAGTGCTTGAAAAATAGTTCTCAGAAATCATAATTTTGTTTATCCAGGGTGTTGCAAAAAATTTAAAAAACAAAAAAAAATAAAAAATTTAAATGGGACCCCCTGTATATTATGACATTTCTGGATTCTGCGGAAAATTCCAGACATATTTCATATACACGGGTGTCCCACGAGGTTTTTCCCAAATGATAACTTCGGAACGCATGATCGTATGTTCCACTGTATAATTATTTTTATCATTTTCTTCTAAAAAGCCTTAACAAATATGGCATGGCCAATTTTGTAATTTAATTTTCTAACCAAAAATGCCATAATATACCATGAGTTACATTTAAGATTCGAAAGTTAACGTCAGTTGACTGAAATTAAAGCGAAAGTGGTGAAATTGGATGACAATGGTAGAAGCGGCACAAAAAGTTACCCAGATCCTCAAAATTTAAATTATATTGGATGACGCGTTCCGAAGTTACCACCTAGAAAAAACGTCGTGGGACACCCTGTATAATGTTATATACCTACCTATCTTCAACTGTTTCGGAAATAAATGACAGTAGAAAATTGACTTTTTTGCATCTTTGACAGACTGTAAAACCTAAACGGTTGATTTTACAGCAAAACCGATCATACATGCTTGTCTTATTTTTTTATAAAATATCATTTGATACCAACTTTGAATTTAATCCATGATTGAAATTTCCAATTAAATTTAATCTCCCGGTTGAATTCAAAATTAGTGTCAAATTGCTAACTTATGAAAAGCTGCAGACATGAATGTAAAATCGGTTCTGCTGTAAAATTAACAGTTACAGCCTCTCAAAGTTGCAAAAAAGTCAATTTTCTACTGTCATTATTTCCGAAACAGTTGAAGATAGGTATATGACATTATACATGAAATATGTCTAGAATTTTCCGCAGAATCCATAAATGTCATAATATACAGAGTGTCCGATTAAAAAAATTATATTTTTTTTGTTTTTTAAACTTTTTGCAACACCCTGTATGAACAATCTATGTTTTCTGAGAACTATTTCTCAAGTACTACAACTTTCCTATTTAAATTTGTGTCGTTCTCCCTGTTCACTTACAGGTGTTTCTATTTTTTTTTTTTTTCAATTTTAAAATATACAGTAATTGTAACTACAAGGGGTGGCGTCTAAAATTAGGTAGGTATACGTTTTTCAATTTTTGTCTAAAAATTCATTTTACAGATATGAGTGTAAATTATGCCGCAAAAAAAAGTTAGCTTCGATTATGTAGGGGTTTTCGGAAATCAAAAGGTGGCAACCCTAATCCTTTCTACACAAGCTTCTGAATTCTAAAATTGACTGCCCATTCTTGTTAGAACAATTACCATTTCACGTACCCTGTGTTTTTTCTACCTTAAATTCAATTTGAAAACGAAATTTGGACAAAACCAGATTTAAAAGTGGTACATTAGATCGTAAAACGATGTGTAGAATCCGAAAAACAAAAAATATACAGGGTGTGCCATTTAAAAATCAAAAGTCAGAAAAACTTGTCAAAGATGCATAAAAATGGCGTTTGGTTAGAAAATCAACCCTACCAAGTTTTGTTGATATCGATGGACAAATAAAAAAATGGCAGCCGGAAAGTAATCTCGTGGGCACCCGGTATACAATACAATACAATTGAATACAATTTACTTCATATTTACATGCAGAAATGTTCTATTTATTTTAATGGGAAATTCTGTCTACCTACCTACCTTTGCAGGTAATCTATGTGGGTAATCAATATTTTCAGTTAAAATAAATAAAACATTTTGTGCATGTAAATATAAATTGTAATCAATAGTATTGTATATATTGCAATCAGAATGAAACATATTATCAAACAAACTAAACAATTACTGGGTGTTCCATTTAAAGAAATGCTATTTGTGCGCATAACTGTCAGAATATAGAAGTCTTTTGTTTTCTGTCCATCCTATCTAAAACTTGGAAAGCAACCCTACAGTGTGTTTTTTGTATTTATTTAAAAAACTTTAAAAATAAAGAAATTATGACAGGATAAAATGGTATCAAGATAAAATGACCACTCTGTATATGCTATTTCAAGTTTTAGTAGTTTAATATTATTTTTTCAAGAAGCAGAAACTTTTATAAAGAATAACTTTTTTTCAAAAATTAGACGTATGATACAGATACAATCACTGCTGAAGTCAAATGTTAAAAGGTACCATCGTCACCAAAAGTAACTGGGACTCTGGGACAAAAATAATTCATATTAATTTCCTGGACTATTCCAGATAAACCTAAAATTATTCATATTCTGACAAATACCTGGGGGGGTTTATTTGAAATGTGCAATTCAAATTCGTCCGACTAAGTCGCATTTTTTAGCATTGAAATACCGGCAAAAATTGCGACTTAGTCAGACGTATTTGAATTGCACATTTCAAATAAACCCCCCCTGACATCTGACTAAAATCATATACCTAATAGTACAAGAGCTAATATGATGCTGCCCCAGTTAGTTTTGGTGATGATTCTACCTAAATACCTTTCCCAAAAATTAAAACTTCTCTGGAATAGTACCTATATTGTGTATTTAGGTGGAAAAGTGACACATTCTTGGCCGACGGTGTAAGTTGCAAACACTGGAGGCTGACAATGTGCTTTTCTACCAAAATACACATACTACTTTTTCAGCGATTGGTTGAATATCTGTTAAATGTTTAGGTGGGTTTATACAGACACATATAACAACATAAGAAATAACATAACATGTCTGTTTGTTCCAATTATTCAGCAATTCGAGAATTACTTTTCTCGCCTAGGCCAGAAAAGTCTGCTGACATTTCTTGTCAATTGCAGAAAAAAAACTATTGAAGGAAAAAATATAAAACTTTTACTATAAAAAGGGGAAAATCAGGAACACATTACTATACTAAAATTTTAAATTTTTCCAGTGGAAAACAACTCCATGGGAAATTAATGAAAATCAGCTCACAAAATCTAAATTAGGCAAATGCAATCTTTTACATTTTAATATTTTTCTTGAAAACTAGTGAAGGGAAAATTATGAAAGTTTTACTATAAAAAGAGAAAAACTAGAAGCTCATTATAAAAAATTTTAAATTTTCCCAGTACAGAACAACATCATGGGAAATTAATGAAAATCAACTTGCAAAAATCTATATTAAGCAAAAATATACATTTTATTATGTATAGTATATTTGTACACAAACTTACCTTAAAGATAAAACTTCAACATTTAAAATTTTTCTTAATAGAGAGACATCTACCAATTCACTGCCCCTGGAACAAATTTAAAAAAAATATAGCATGAAGAAATATGGGACAAAGCTACTATGTATATAATGGAAAATTTTTCTAAAGAAAACTGATTGATAAATAAATTATTAAAAATCCTTACCAGCAATTGAGCCTTTTAATTTTCGACAAATCCGAAATTTTGGTCCTGGCAATGACCATTTCTTCCGTTAATCTTTTTGCCATTTTTCCAAACAATGTATTCACTTATTTAAAATCCATTTATTGATCCGCACCAATAAATACACTCAAGACAAATACAACATATAACATTTACAGCCCACATTCATTCGCTTCTAGTAAATGAATGAATGAGAGAAGAAAAAATTAATATATTTTTTCAAATTTTTACATAGTAGTAGAAGTGGAGAAAAACAGGAAATGGAAATGAACGATCATATGTTTTCAACAGCCCCACCTAATGGCATCAAGCCAATGTAGTGGGAACTTGAAGGAAGTATGGCAACATGTAAACAGTGCCTAAATTAAATACATTTGCTTAGGGCTTATAGGAGCTAGGAGCACCCCACACAAGAAGAAATAAGCCCCAGGGATTTTGTACAAAAGTTAGATTATTTATTTTAATTCTTTAGGAGGGGGCGTCTTCGGTTCAAAGCCAGAAAACAGCCCCACGAAGACAAAAATTATGTGCTGGGTATGTGTTGATTACCATACCCCACGTACCCGGAAAAAGATACATGTGCTATAAGGAAGCAAGCACCCTTTTTGAAAATTCCTTGTCAAATTTTCTAGGTCAATTCAGTGCCAGGCATTTTTATGGGCAGATTTAATATGTGCCGACATCTATGGACGTAGTACTTCATTGAAATAATCATCCAGTCACCATTAATTGTGAAACACCAATAGGTCAAGATTTTCTAGTATAGAAAGTCGATTTTTCTGTACACATATTAAATTTTGTAAGAAAAAAAATACTTTAACATGGGCTTGTTTCTATTTTTATTCCCACAATGATTATGTTTTTATATTTTACATCACAAAAGAAACATCTAACATTCATTTTAAATTTTAAAAAAATGGGCTGCTTTCTGCGCTAAACAAAGGGGTTTTAAATATTATTGTTATCAATCCGTTTCAACGTTAATATCCTCAAAATCATCATCGCTAGGAGTGTCCGATTTATAGTCAGGCATTTGCATAAACTTAGTTATCAAATAATCTCTCAAAACCAGCGGACTATACTTGAAGAAAAAATGATAAATCTTATATCTTAGAGGTTCATGTTTGTAAACGTAATCGGGATTTTCGTCCAGTAAAGTGTCCTCGAAGGTTTTGTAAAGGTTTTCGTCTTGGATTTTTTGAGGCTCCGGCGGCGACGTAATAAAAGACAAATAAATGTTGTAGCGTTTAAAATAGTCGCTGTAAAACCGGTGCTGTTCTTCTGTGAAATTATCGTGCATCTCTTGTACATTTTGAAGTTGCCGAGACATTATACTACTTTCAGTTGTAAAAGAACCTAAAATAAATTACAAGTTTAAGAGAAATATTGGCAATATTTTCATTGAAATTCAAGCAAATCAAAATAAATTATGTACCATTGAAAAGAGCATTAAGTCTGCAAAACCCCTGTATCCCTTATGGTTACCAAGATCCCCATACATATTCATGAATTTGTAACACCCTGTTATAGGAACAATTTACCTGGTATAAATGTGATAATTCGCACCCCATATTTGGCCATTTCGATTCTCAAACCGTCATTCCAAGAACTAAGGGCCGCCTTTGTAGCTCCATAAACAGTTAATCCTGGCAAATTAGCTAAAGCACAATGACTAGAAACTGTTATAAGTCTTCCTATGGAAAACAAATAATTTAAAAATTCTTCTAGAGATATTATTTAAAATGAAGCCAACCTTTATGTTTTCTTAATAAATGGCAAAAAGCATTTGTAAGCTTAAAAGTTCCAAGTAAATTAACTTCTATTTGTTGTTTTATTAATCTTTCAGTTTGCCATTCGAATTCTCCAAATACCATAACGCCTGCGTTATTAACTAAAGCATGAAAACTATAATCGGGGTTTTTACTAAAATAATGCTCCAACGTCTGAACAGCATTTTGAATGCTATTACTGTCTGTAATATCAAGTTGTATCTGTATAATGTATCCTCCGTATAGTCTTTTAATTTCTTTTGAACCTTTCGAATCGAGACTCAAAAATGTTGCTATCACAGTAAAACCGCATTTTGAGGCGTGTTGAGCAAGAGAAAAACCTAAACCTAAAACAAAATATGACGTGTTATATGATTACACGTGTAATCATATAACACGTCAGATTGAAGTGAAACTTCTTCAAACACACAAGGAGGTAAGTGGTTGAGGAATTGCAATATATTTAACTATACATGAGATATTTTTATGCAAAAGATTACTCAGAATCCTTTCAAGATTTTGCTAGATCTCCCTAATTTTTCAGGGATTTCATAGAATACTAGCAGAAGTGCGCAGTTAGAACACAACTCCCAAGGTATTCTCCTTAACAGAACATGTGCATCTACGCTTGATCAATTACTGTCTTGGCAATATCAAAGCGACATTTCTCACGTATTGGAATGGAAAACCTGGTAACATGATATCCTCTTGAATATTCTCAATCAATAGGATATTAAATTCTAATATTTCTCAATAAGATTTCTCTCAGACTTCCACAGATATTTTCTCGAATGTTCCCATTCTCCCCAGATTTTCCAGTGGAGTTTTGAATATCTCCTGCATGGTGTACATGGGACATTTTGTGTGAATGACCTCTTAGAAATTAGTTTAATGGTATAATTTACAATGTGACCACTGGACTAAGGGCAATGAAGGGAGTCAAGTCTAATCAGTGGCCTTGTTTCGACTTTAAGCACACATACACACAATACATTTTATACATTTATGAGGTGTTTGTTTGTACTATTTTTTTTGCTTCAAGCAGATCTCAGCAGTTCAGTTGTAGTAACAGACTCTTATATAGCAGCTTCTAGCAGATCTTTCTGATTTTTCAGGCAGGTAGAGCAAGTACTGAACAACCTATAAGCTAGGGCTTATAGGCCTGTAATGAACGTTGCATTGAAGTGCGCTCCCCACTACTAACTACTTTACGTGGCAGTAGAGGGATTGCATGTCTTCATTACATGGCAACTTGTGTGTGATAAAAAAGTTTCACATCAAAAACCGAATCGTGTACGAGTTTTAATTCTTACCAGAATCACATCCAGTAATAATGACAACTTTTTTCTTATTAGCTACCAATTTCTGTTTTTCCCTGCTAAAAGTGTAAATAAGACTGGCAGTAGTTACTCCAACAACGCATAAAGTTTTTATAGTTTGATGGGACTGGAACCCGTGCTGAAGCAGTACCATCATGCCAAGAACTCCAGCACCTACTGCTGTATAAAGTTCGTTCAAAATTTCGAAACTCACTTGCAGAGACTTTGATAAAGCGCTCATTTTCCTTTGCTACTGCGACACTTTCAGTGCATAATAATAATTGCTCGGGGAATGTGGGATGGTTTTGTGTAGGAATGAATGATAAGTTTTGAGTTCTAGACACTGGAATTTGAAGTTTTATTTGAAAACTTTGCGCTCATTCAAAAAAGTAAACATCGGAGATTGTAGGTTTGAGGTTATGTATCGACTGAAAACCTAGCGATATTTTTATCTGTTTCTTTCACAGGCTGAGAAAAAAAGATGAAACTTGACTTAGTGCATCGAATAAATATATTCCTCAAGCAAGATTATTTGAAAGAGGTAGGTTGCCTATAACTTGATGACGTCATCTGAGGTGCCTCAACATGACGCAAATCTCCGGCCCCAAGTGCGTCATCTAAGTTACCTATTATTACAGATCGTTTCTCGAGTGCCTCTTTCGGGTGCAGAGTGCGAAGCTTCTAGAACACTTCACACCTGTCACCTGTCATACCCCAGCGTTTTGCACTCGAACGCTTGAAGTCGAAAGGGTTAAACTGTAGCCGGAGTACTTCGTAGTAACTTGGGAGCGCTCAAAGGATGGCACCCGAAAGCAGCTAAGGGCTCATACTTTTGACTTCGAACACGTCATACGTTATATAACTTGAGAAAAAAACGGTTGTCGTAGATTTAATTCATAAGGTTGTTCATTTGTATTGCTTTTCTTACTTCAAGCAGATCTTAGAGCTGATCGGCGTCCACTTGTCCGATAACTCCCATATAAATCGCTTTCCAGCTGACGCTTTTGAGCACGCAAATGCTTCAAGCGCGTGTTCGTGTTCCAACACTACGCTTCGAGAGCTTCTAATTTTTGCGTTTCAAACACAGAACACTGTGCTGCACCGTGCTTGAAGCACACAGCGGGAAAGCGACTATAATAAGCTCATAAATAACAGCTCCTAGCAGATTTTCTTGATTTTTCGAGCAGGTAGCAAGTAAAATGTACAGCCTACATGTGACACTGCCCTACCCTGTTTTCTTTACTTTTTCAATTCAAGAGTCGGGGATAAGAAAACCATTAATTTTGTGTCGACTTTTGTCTATTCCAGGCTCTCAAGCTGAAAAATTCAAGAATTCATAAGTTGTCTCTGTTCCTTATGGTTCAAAGAAAGCGCTACAAATGGCCTACTAGATTTTTTCAAACTGTCAAAGTTGAGGTGCTTTCAGTTTGCTGCTCGAGACTTAATTGAAAAGTGTGGCGTGAATTCACTCCGATTGAATCTAGTTCTGGTGCACTTGAAATCACCACATAAGAGAGGGTGCAACTTAACGAAAACACTATAGGTGCTTCTTTTCAGAGCTTTGAAACCTCGGGCTTCGACGCCCTGGGCCGCGTCAGCGCTCGCCGCTCGCTCTAAAAAGAACGGTAATTGAGGGACATCAGTTGTATTTTTTTCAAGAGTTTAAAACACTGGGCTACTCGTTCCGGTATTAGTCGACCCCGATTTGAAAGGAACAGATGCGCTGGTTTTCATGCATTTAAATGGTTTGATTCGGGCTTGATCGCTCAGCTGCAACAAACACTTTTCGAAAGGAATAAGCGCGTGAAGCCCAGGAGTTGTTCCGGAGCTTTTCCTAGGTGTAAAAGAAATACAACTATAATTATCTGACACTAGTGACAGTTCGGAAACTGAAGCTGTGGAGCTTCGACGCCTTCCTGAGGCGCTAGCGGTGGGGATAGAAGACCCCGGGGCTTGACGCCCCGATAAAAAAGAACGGTTGACACATTTCAAAATCGTGATCCAGGGCGCCCTGGGTCACGGGAAATTGATATTTCTCCATGGAAAACTGTCAGTTTAGGGAATACTTATTGTTAAGGTTTCCTTGAAATAGTTGGTGGAAACGGCCATTAGAGCCCTACCCTGTTTTCTTGAGTTTTTCAATTCAAGAGCCACGATTAAGAAAGCTATAAGGTCTATTCCAGGCTCTCAAGCTGAAAAGTTTAAGAATTTATAAGCTGTCTCGGTCCCTGATGGTTCAAAGAAAGCGCTACAAATAACCTACTAGATTTTTTCAAACTGTTAAAGTTGAGTTGTTTTCATATTGCTGCCTGAGACAGGGAGGATTTTCATGCATCCGTTTTTCCGTCGAAATATTTCCGAAAAGTCTTCTATTTTGACATATTTATATACGATTATGTCAGAATAGAATGTTAAACGGACATATTTCGTCGGAAAAACGGATGCATGAAAATCCTCCCTTAATTGAAAAATGTGGAATGAATTTACTCCGATTGACTTTAGTTTTGTTGCACTTGAAATCACCACATAAGAGAGGGCGCAACTTAACGAAAATTCTCGAGCTGAAAAATTTAGGAATTCATAAGCTGTCTCAATCCCTGTTGGTTCAAAGAAAGCGCTACCAATGGCCTACTAGATTTTTTAAACTGTCAACGTTGAGGTGATTTCATTTTGCTGCCCGAGACTTAATTGAAAAGCGTGGAGTGAATTTACTCCGATTGACTCTAGGTTTGTTGCACTTGAAATCACTAGGAAGTGCTGTTTCAAATAACACAAACAAAGCTCAAATAAGAGAGGGTGCAACCAATGAACTATAGTCAAAAACTGGAATGCGCACACATTGCCATATCTGCCAAAAAAATGTAGCCATGAAAGATAGATGCCACAAAGGGGAATGTTGTTTTTTTCTGTTGCTCGCTGACATATGACGTTTTGGAAAGTTTTGTCCAATGAACTAGAACTAAAAACTGGAATGCGCACACAGTGCCATATCTGCCAAAAAAATGAAGCCATGAAAGACAGATGCCACAACGGGGAATGTTGTCTTTTTCTGTTGCTCGCTGACATATGACGTTTTCGAATGTTTTGTCATATTTTCCTTCACAGGTTTCATCAATTGGAATACGTGTTGGAAGCCAATTTTCGCCATTTAACATAATGAGTGCGACAAAAACAGGTATCCCCTCCGCAGCAGCCGCACTAGGCTTCACGTTCGTCCTTATTTGTTAGCATTCCAGTTTTTGGTTATAGTTCATTGGTTTTGTCATATTTACCTTCACAGGTTTCATCAATTGGAATACGTATTGGAAGCAACTTCCGCCATTTAACATAATGAGTGCGACAAAAACAGGTATCCCCTCCGCAGCAGCGGCACTAGGCTTCACGTTCGTCAATATGTGTTCGCATTCCAGTTTTTGGTTATAGTTCATTGGGTGTAACTTATAACGGAAACGCTATAATTGACTTAACTTAAAATGTCAAAGTTAGGGTGTTCTCTTTTCGATGTAGAGCTTTATTTAATACCTTGCGTTCTGTATTTTGCTCAAAGAGCAGAGCGTGTTGAGCGGAGCCGTACTCACGTGACCAGCGAGAGAACAGAGCAGTTGAACGTTGTGTCAGAGTGCCCGAAATTTGAATAACCGAACGCGAATGAGCCTACACCGAGTACACTTTTTGAATAAACGAACGGTAAATTGAAGCTCGGAGAACTGAGATCAAAATACCGAACGCACGGTAAGTAGAAAACCAATACAAAGCTTTGGTACGATTGAGATTGATTTGGCAACGTCTAAAAAGTCGTTTCTGAAAATTTAAAATGTTGATGATTTTTAATTTTGAATTTCAGAAAATAATAATTATTTGAGGTGGGTTCGGCTTGCTCACTCCGTGCACTCCGAGTAACTCCATTCGCACTCCAGCCGTTCGGGTATTGCTTTTTACCGTATTACTCGTATTAGGGGTGACTCCATCAGCTCTGTTCACTCCACTCCAACTCCGCGCTGAATAGCCGAACTCAGCTATAATGGAGATTCTTTTCTTGAATGAAATTTTTATGCAAGTACCCAGTACCCTATACTACAGTGACTCTGTTTTTGTCTACTTTTTCGTGTCGATTTGCTCCGAAATTTTGACAGACACGCGATTTGTAGGCCGAGTTCGTTTTTGTCATCTTTTTCGTCGATTTCCTCCAAAATTTTGACAGGCACGTGATTTGTAACTTGAAACTGTCTTATCCAGTCACGTGCCTGTCAATATTTCGGAGGAAATCGACGAAAAATATGACAAAAACGAACTCGGCCGTAATTTGATACTGTCTGATCCAGTCACGTGCCTGTCATAATTTCGGAGCAAATCGAAGAAAAAGATGACAAAAACGAACTCGGCCTTTGATTATTCCCAGTGGTTGACTGGACTCGTGATTGTTGTGTCTGACCGATAGAAAGCTTGGAATGATAAAGTAAAAGACTGCAATGTAAGAAATTCAATAAGCAAGACAGAGAAACAGAAAAAGTAGGATTATATCGGCGCTTGAGTGGCCTCGTTTGTAATTCTTGTGTTCGCCCAATACAGGAGCCTGGACAGACAAAGAAGTGGGAAAATAAAAATTGAGAGCCGATTTTGGTTTATTCTCTGCACTTGAGTGGCTTTGTAATAAATAACGCGGAAAATTTGACTTTGCAACATCGTCGTATCGATACCTATACCTATGGATATCGATAAACCCTGCTCTAAATTGGTATACAACAACAAGAAGAATATTTTTGTGTAGCAAAATAAACTTTTTATTCAAATTTATATTTTATATCAATACAATTTTCTTAAGAATAAAGTTTTAAAAAAATATTTTTTTACCTAGAAACGTGCAGTAAAGTGCTCTTTATTGTACTTATTTGCAAGTGGAAAGTAGTTTTTTCCACTCTTGTTCCAGAGTAAAGAGAACATGAAAGTATACTCGAATGACTCATATAAGTTTTGGAACAGTGAATATAACAACATCAATCAGTGTTGCCAGACTCTAAATATGAAAGTGTGGTACACAATGCTCAAAAACTGTCGTACAGGGACGTACGCGCCACAAATACTTGTGGTATACATTACTTTACATTTTTAGCAAGTATATATTTACTTAAAAAATATGATTTTTTGAGAGCGCAAAATGTTGAAAACTTGAAAATAGACCTTGCATTAAAAATTACAGCAACGGGAGTGTCCGGAAATCAAATAAAACTATTTAATAAATTTACTAAAGTCATCTCGATTAAAATACTTTGTAGATAATAAGTCAAATTGGAAATAGATTCTTTTGTAACGTTGACAATAATTGCTAACTTAATATGAAAATTCCTGACAAGAAAATTTCTATCGGGATTGTTAGGTTCTGATTAGGAAGCGATAAGAAGAATGTGCTCTAATTTATATTTCCATTCATCAATAAAACATGAGGCATAGAACAAAGAACTTTTTATTAATTAATTTTTAATGTTACAGCATGACTTGCAACTTTTCAACTATATCACAGCTGACTACTAAACTAAACTTGACATAGTTGACATAACAAAAACGATGTTTCTACACAGTGTTGCCAAGTCAACATTTTATAGGTTTGCTCGACTTACTCCGAACTACTCCAAACTAATCTTATATTTAACACCCTCCCTCAAACCTATACAATGTTTTGTTTGTTTT